GTTCAGTGGATCATATACTCTCATATTTCTCATCATGCAAAATTGTGTGTGTGTGTGTGTGTGAGATGAGTTTACACAATTCCTTGGTTACAGTAGAGGATGATTCTAAGTCACACTGTTAAAGCTGGAATATAGTTGCAAAAGGAGTTTTTGATGGGTTGGACCAGACTCTGAAGCCTCCCACTGGTGGCTTGTGGCCTTCCCACACACTGCTCCAGAAGAGAAGCCATAACAATATACAGGCAGTCCCCGGGTACAAGATAGGGACTGTAGGTTTGTTCTTAAGTTGAATCTGTATGTAAGTCGGAACTGGCGTCCAGATTCCGCCGCTGCTGAAACTGACCAACGCTGACTACAGGAAGCCCGAGGCAGAGTTGCTCTGCCCCGGGCTTCCTGGAATCAGCCGCTGATCAGTTTCAGCAGCAGCTGACTTGAGGACGCTTGGGGTTCTTAAGTTGAATCTGTATGTAAGTCGGAACTGGCGTCCAGATTCCGCCGCTGCTGAAACTGACCAACGCTGACTACAGGAAGCCCGAGGCAGAGTTGCTCTGCCCCGGGCTTCCTGGAATCAGCCGCTGATCAGTTTCAGCAGCAGCTGACTTGAGGACGCTTGGGGTTCTTAAGTTGAATCTGTATGTAAGTCGGAACTGGCGTCCAGATTCCGCCGCTGCTGAAACTGACCAACGCTGACTACAGGAAGCCCGAGGCAGAGTTGCTCTGCCCCGGGCTTCCTGGAATCAGCCGCTGATCAGTTTCAGCAGCAGCTGACTTGAGGACGCTTGGGGTTCTTAAGTTGAATCTGTATGTAAGTCGGAACTGGCGTCCAGATTCCGCCGCTGCTGAAACTGACCAACGCTGACTACAGGAAGCCCGAGGCAGAGTTGCTCTGCCCCGGGCTTCCTGGAATCAGCCGCTGATCAGTTTCAGCAGCAGCTGACTTGAGGACGCTTGGGGTTCTTAAGTTGAATCTGTATGTAAGTCAGAACTGGCGGTCAGTTTCAGCAGCGGCGGAATCTGGACGCCAGTTCCGACTTACATACAGATTCAACTTAAGAACAAACCTACAGTCCCTATCTTGTACCCGGGGACTGCCTGTACTGTATTCTGAGTGAATGGATTTTTGTTGGCAATTCATCATGGATAGAATAGATCTGCTGCTGCTGCATATGATGTCCATAAACTTTTAAAAAGTGGTCAATGCTATTTTATTTTTCTTCAGAACAAATTCATTTTAACTAGACACTGCATCCTTCTGTCTGTGCATTATAATAATGAAGTGTAGATGACCTTTTCGAGCTTCCTTGGAAATATAACTGTAAAGGAAGAATGAACTTCACTGAACACTAAGACAATTGACTAAGTGCTAAATGAGTGAATGATTAAGCATTGTATGTTTCATGAGGCATAAAGGATATGATGACAAAGGGTTCTGGGGTCGGCAGGTCCCCGTCTAGACTACCGCGCTGTGCCGACACGGCGGCCATTTTGATGTAATGAAGTGGCGACTATTTAAATTGCCGCTTCATTTCCCTTTGTCGTCCTGCCTCTTCTACGTGGCTCCGTCGATGGAGCCATGTAGTCTAGACACACCCCAAGAGACCTTTAAATATCTTGCCACTACAGGCTTCTGATGAAAACTCCTTAAGGTCACAGACTTATTGAATTTAGTCAGTACGCTACTACTACCCAAATGCAAAAAGCCAGGAAGAAGCTTTTGGGAACTTGGGAACTTCTCCCTGTGGGGTAACTCTAAGCTCTTAACCCTCCCTTAGGAAAGAGTCTAAAACAAACTGTAATCTCTTAATAGCTGACCTTCAGTTCAGGCACCTGGACACAGAACATTCTGCCTTCTAGGACACAGGAATCAAATCATAATCTTAAAGAGGTGATTTTATTAACAAAACAAAGAACACATACTTAGAAAAGCCTACTTGGTTGCTAGGTATAGAGAAATTTAAAAAAAAAAAGGTTAAAGAATAGAGAATTGCTTCTCTTGGGTTCAGTTTCAGTGTACAGAGGGGTTTAGCACAGAGGAGTTTAACCAAACTAAAAACAAAGAAACAAACAACCTGATCGCGTCTAACTAAACATTTCCTGTTCTTCTTACATCTGTTGCTCCAAAGTTTAAGTTTCTTTCCTTAGACATGGATATCGCTGGGACATCCATGCCTTATTTTTGCTCAGTCTGTTTTCTCTCCCACCTCCTGCTCTGACTCAGGGTATGACTAGACTGCGAGGATCTATCGGAAGAAGATACACAAAATGCGGACCACATTTTGTGTATCTTTTCCCGATACTTTTGTGGGAAGAGGCTTTTCCAAAATTTGGCCCCTCTAGACTGGTCCAAATTTTGGAAAAAAAAAAACTTTCTTTCAAAAGCCTCCTTCTTCCTTGTGGAACAAGGAATACAGGGTATTCCAACAGAGCGCGTTTGCTCTTCTGCAAAAAAAGTGGAAGAGCAAACGAATTCTCTGGACGCGGATCCCTACGGTGTAGCTGTGCCCTCTCATACAAAAGGAAAACTGAAGCTGGAAAAAACTTGTTTCATTTCAAACTTAGCCCACTCTCTTCCCAGTGGCTCTCCTGGCTCCAGGCCAATACTTCCTACATACCCACTGTTCTGGTTTTAACCCTTTACAGACAACTTAGTTATTGAATGCTGTGATATCGGGAAAGGGGCAGTACCCCTTCCACCCATCACAGAAGTTTAGTAAATTACGTATATTTTAAAAGTTGAAAATGAAACTTAGTTTTACCTTTAATATAGTGTTAAATCGGTGCTCAGGTTATATAGGTTTCTTCTGTAGAAATGAAAATTAAGTATATTTGGTAGTTTCACCTATGCCAGACAGGAGTGGGACTAATGACCTGCTCCTGAAAAAAACAAACTTATTATGGAGACCTACATTACTACTCAGTAAATTCAATCCAACTCAACTGAATTCAAATAGACCAGGAAAAGACAGAGGATGGCACAAAGTGACAAAACCTGGAATGAAGCTACTCCACTGATGAATTTTCTGTCTACCAAAACTGATATATGGAATGTGCAGATACTATATTAGCCTGGTAAAATAGTCAAAGAAAGAAAAGAGAGACAGATATATATTAGACTTATGTGAAATGAGATGGGTAACATAAGGTCAGATAATCTTATCAGCAGAATATATCCTACTGTTTGGGCTACTGAATGCCAGTGACGTGCACAGAGATGATATGGGTCTGATACGATCAAGGAGGGCAGCCAAAATCCTGAGAGAATGACCATCAATTTGGATTATAACACCACAATTTACATCAGACTTCCAGAAAGTGTCCTTTATGTAATGTTATTCTCCAACAAATCAAGCTAAGAGGAAAAAAATACACACACATTAAATAGCAACCCCATCTATCATCATGGAAATGACAAAATAGAATGAGAGTCACCATTTTTTGGAAATTCATATAAAGCCTTTGACAATTCATATAAAGCCTTTGACAAAGTACACAGAAGTAGTTATACCACTATGGAATCCTTTAAACTTGTCAACCTTATTCAGAGGTTCTGTGAAATACACATGCCTAGTAATACATAACAGAAAACTAAGACATTTGAGATTACTGTGGGCCACAAAAAGATGTCTCATGTCCCCCATGATCTTTTCAGTTGTAGCAGATTGGGTAATGAGAGCACACAGAATAACCAGTAAACTTTCACACAGAAGTTAGAGGACCTTAACTTTGCAGGTGACATCAACTTGCGCTCTTTTAACCAAAGAGATGTGAAATCCAAAACAGATAACTGGAGCCCTAAAAATCTGTGGATAACTGCTTTATATCTGTGGACCATGAGTGATATCAACAAGAGCCTTTCAGATGGCCAGTCAGGAAGCCCTCTTGTCCATTTTTGCGATTAAAAAATAGAAATCTTGCAGCAAAATGTATATTTCCCTGCAGAAAGTTTTAGACTGGAGAAAAGGGCACTTTTCCTTGGAAAAATCATTCAGACAAAAATTATCAACAAGCTGCATGGATTAGGCTTATTGAAGCCTTGTCTGACTAGTCAGGTTTAGATCAGACTGTCCTGTCAGAGGTTGGGGGTGTAGTTTTCTTTCAGCTGACCAGCTCTTTGAGCAGGGGGAGAGTCTGGTAAGCTTGTTACATCAATGTATATCAGATTCCGCTTTGTGTTGCAGTTTTCTCCCTTTCTGCTAATCAGAAGCTAAAAACTGTAGAGGGAAAATCTTCTGTCCCCCCCTTCCCCCCCACTATCCAAAACTGAAAATTGAACGTGGTGAGGGAGAGGCCGATGTATCTGCCCTGTTCCCATGTCTATGCTTCCAGCTGCTCCCTAGGTTTGCTGTTCAGCTTGCTTTCATATTCCTGTTTTCACAGTCCCTACCTAGCCTTTTAACTGGGCTGGGTAGGTGGCTTGGGAGATTGAATAAAAGGCTCAGTTTCAGGTTGTCTCCTAAGCACTTGTCTGAATCTCATGCTTTTCTGGAACCTCAGACAGGGCAATTGAGATTGCATCAAAGGCCCTCACTTTGGCAGAAAGCTTTTTGCTTCCCCTCACCTGTTGAACAGTTCTTTAGCAATGACTGCTCAAAAGTACTGAAAGTCAGTTCTCCAAGAGGAATAGGAGTCAGCCCACACTAAGGCCGTGTCCAGACTCAGGGGTTTTTTCGGGAAAAGTAGCCTTTTCCCGAAAAAACTTCCCCTGCGTCCAGACTCAAGCCGCGTTCTTTCGAAATTATTTCGAAAGAACGCGGCTTTTCTTTCAATGGCGGTAAACCTCGTTTCACGAGGAAGAACGCCTTCCTTCGAAAGTTCCTCTTTCGAAGGAAGGCGTTCTTCAATGTAAAGAGGCCGTCTTCGAAAGAGAGCATCCAGACTCGCTGGGTGCTCTCTTTCGAAAAAGCGGATTTCTCTTTCGAAAGATCCGCCTGCAGTCTAGACGCGATCTTTCGAAAGAGGCTCTTTCGAAAGAAGCCTGCAGTCTAGACATAGCCTAAGAGTGAAGCAAGAAACCCTGCACAACAGTCAGGTTGGGAAGAGGAAGTAAAAGGCTGGGGAAACTTATGGAGGAAAAATTTGGGAGTCTGGGAGGGGAGTGAAACAGGCAACTCTGATTTGATAGCAGTAGTGTTATGCAAATGAGCAGAGTGTGTTAATCAAATATGTATACATAGCATTAGTTCATTTGCATAAAATCTAGTTCATTTGCATACAGCCTTAGCAGCTATGTTTTACTCAAGCAGTTTGAATTGGCAGCAGTAACACTAACTCCAAACATTAAAAAGTCATGTCATCGTAAGACTTGATACTGACTTTTTAAAATTGTGGAGTTTATTTATTTGCCTTGTTTTTTTAAACTGCTTGTGTTCACTTTTAAGCTTCCATCTGTAATTATGAGGCTTTAAACTTTTTTTTTTTAAACAAAAAGTAAGACTTCTTAATCACGTAACTCCTAAAGGTTTGTGATTTGAGAAAAATACTAAATATTGTGAGTTGGCAACACTGAGAAGTGAAAGCCTTTCCATTTTCTGTTTTTGCTAGTAGCTATGTCTGAATGGGTTTCTGAAAATTACATTTATTATTTTATTGGCGGAAATTACAAGCCAGAATCCTTATTCATAATATGGTTCCTCCCTGATCACTGCACCTGTGGAAAAATGTTAGATGTGTTTGTTAACATGATTTAACGTATTAACACCATTGAAGCACTAATGTATACTAATCTTCACAATCCACTACAATAAAGATGATAGAAAAATAGCTCTATGAATATACTTGGATGACCTGAGTGGGTAAAAACAATAAGGCATGCAGTCCAAAAAGAAAAATATTGTGATAACTGAGATAAGATTAGAGAAACGTGGGCTGTTTTTCCTAGAATTTGGGATGGAAATGAAGAGATGCAATCTGAATATTTCAGAGACCACCAAATTTTGCTATTGGCACTATTGAGTTGGATATATCAGAGGCAAGAGGGAAGTAATGCCAATATAACTGGTGACAAAATGGGAGAAAAGGAATAAGGTTACAACAAAAACCTCTGGAGGGCAAGTCCTGTTCATACAAACCTGAAAAAAAAATCACACAACTGAGTATTTTTATAACAAATTACATGTTAGATTTTGCCTCCTTGTTCTGTGGGGTGGGAGTTAAGGAATAAGGTAAAGAAGGATCAGGTGATATTGCAGTCCTGCATGTAAACAAATAAACTACAATAATAAAAATGAATGCTCTCCCCTTCCCCCCCCCCCCGATTTTGCAACTTCAAGCTTCATAAAAATAACATACATAAGTACATAAGAATGGCCATACTGGGTCAAACCAAAGGTCCATCTAACCCAGTATCCTGTCTTCCAACAGTGGCCAATGCCAGATGTCCCAGAGGGAGTGAACAGAACAGGTAATCGTCAAGTGATTCCTCTCCTGTAATCCATCTTCAGCCACTAACAAACAGAGCCTAGGGACACCATTCCTACCCATCCTGGCTAATAGTCCTGTGGTGAGCCCTGCTTGTCAGCCGTGCTGTCTGGCGATCTGCGCATGCGCAGATTGCCCAAACCCGGCTCTTCTGGGTTGCAATCTACTTGCCATGGGCGAGTAGATTGTATTATTTGTCGAGCCCTGCTAATAGTAATTTGTGGAACTAACCTCCATGAATTTATCTAGTTCTTTTTTGAACCCTGTTAAAGTCCTGGTCTTCACAACATCCTCAGGCAAGGAGTTCCACAGATAGACTATGCGCTGTGTGAAGAACTTCCTTTTATTTGTTTTAAACCTGCTGCCCACTAGTTTCATTTGGTGGCCCCTACTTCTTATATTATGGGAACAAGTAAATAACTTTTCCTTATTCACTTTCTCCACACCACTCATGATTTTATGGACCTGTCCCATATCTCCCCTTAGTGTCCTCTTTTCTAAGATGAAAAGTCCCAGTCTTTTCAGTCTCTCTTTATATGGGACCCATTCCAAACCCCTAATAATTTTTGTCGCCCTTTTCTGAACCTTTTCCAGTGCCAGTATATCTGTTTTGAGATGAGGCAACCACATCTATCTTATTCTCTGTCCCTTTTTAATGATGCCTGACATTGTTTGCTTTTTTGACTGCTGCTGCACACTGAGAGGATGTTTTCAGAGAACTGTCCACAGTTCTCAAGAGATCTCTCTCTTGAGTAGTTATAGTTAAATTAGTCCCCATCATATTGTATGTATAATTGGGATTATTTTTTCAATGTGCATTACTTTACATTAATCAACATTAAATTTCATTAGCCATTCTGTTGCCCAATCGCTTAGTTTGGTGAGATCTTTTTGAAGCTCTTCTCAGTCTACTTTGATCTTAACTATTTTGAACAGTTTAGTATCATCTGCAAATTTTGCCACCTCGTTATTGACCCCTTTCTCCAGATCACTTATAAATAGGTTGAATAGGCTTGGTCCCAGCACAGACTTTTGGGGGACACCACTTGTTAATTCTCTCCATTTTGAAAACTTACCATTCATTCCTACCTTTTGTTTCCTTTTTAACTACAGTAGAGTCTTGATTATCCGACCTAAATGGGACCGGAGGATGGTCAGATAAAGGAAATGTCGGATAATACAGAAAATTATTTTAATACAGTAATTAATACCTTGCGAGGTCCAGTTCTATTCCTCCTGAATCCGCTGCCTTGACCAGCCCAAACGGGAGTAAGATCCAGGGCTCTGCCTTGCAGTGGGAACACAGTGCTCGCTCTGCACCACTCTATGTCCCCTAGCGATGATGTGACGCAGGGCAAGGTGCTTGCCGCTTTCTTCAGAAACAGGAAAAAAGCTGACGGCAAATTCTTCAGCCACAAGAGGGAGCTGCAGACCTTCCAACCAGAGCTCCTGCCCAGCCCTGGAACAGGGAAAGCAATGTCATTGTCCAGCGTCCCTTGCTGTAACGGGTGGCACATTGGATAACACGGAATGTCAGATAAACGAAGGTTGGATAATCGAGACTTTACTGTAGTTATCAATCCATAAGAGGACCTTCCCTCTTATCCCATAACAGCTTACTTTACTTAAGAGATTTTGGTGAGGGACCTTGTGAAAGGCTTTCTGGAAATCTAAGTATGCTATATCCACTGGATTCCCCTTGTCCACGTTTGTTGACTCCTTCAAAGAACTCTAATAGATTAGTAAGGCATGATTTCCCTTTACAGAAACCATATTGACTTTTCCCCAACAAATTATGTTCATTTGTGTGTCTGACAATTTTGTTCTTTACTGTAGTTCAGGGGTGGGAAAAAGGGCCTCCATAGGCCAGATCTGACCCACCAAGTGAGTTGATCCAGCCTGTGGAGGCCCTACTGCTCCCCCTGCCCAAGGCCAATCAGGACCTGGGGGTCAGGGGAAGCGTGTGAAGTCTCCTACTGCCCTGCCTTTGCCCTGCAAGAAGTGTGTGGAGCTTAGAAGTGCGGCATGCTCCTGGCAGGACAGGAGGAGACTTTAAGCGCTCCCCCCACCTCCAAGCCCAGATTGGCCTGGGGATAGGGGAGGAGTGAATGAAGTCTCCTCCTTCCCTGTGAGAGGTGCGGTACTTCCAAGCACTGCATGCTTTTTGCAGGACGGGGCAGGGTGGGAGGAGACTTTATGTACTCCCCCTACCCTCAGGCCAATCAGGGCTCGGGGGTGGGGGAGAAGCGCATGAAGTCTCCTCCCACCTTGCAAGGCACTAAGAACTTAAAGTCAACCACTGAGCAGCATCTGGTGGTTCACTCTAAATGCGATGCTCCCTTGCAGAGCTGGGGCAGGGAGCATGAGACTTCAAGTGCTCCCCCTCCCCAGGCCCTGATTGACCTGGAGGCAGCAGGGGAGGAGCATGGGAATTCTCCTCTCACTGCCAGGGCATGGGTATCTAGAGGGAACTGCCAGCTGTTCAGAACTGCTGGTGGTTCTCTTTGGGAGGGGGGGTCTTTGCATGCTCTCCCACCCCCACACCAATTAGGGTCTGTGGGTGAGGAAACTCAGAAGTGTCCTGGCCCCGCCCCTTCCACCTGAGGTCCTGCCCCTTCTGGGGCAGCTTGGAGCAACTTCAAAAATTTCTGAAGTGGCTTCCGGTCAAAAATTATTACCCACCCAGGCTGTAGTTTCAACTAATTTGCCCTGTACTGACATTAGACTTACTGGTCTGTAATTGCCAAAATCATCTCTAGAGCCCTTTTAGATTATTAGCGTCACATTAGCTATCTTCCAGTCATTAGGCACAGAAGTTGATTTAAAGAATAGGTTACAAATCACAGTTAATAATTCTGCAATTTCCAATTTGAGTTATTTCAGAATTCTTGGGTGAATGCCATCTGGTTCCAGTGTATTGTTACTGTTAAGTATTGTTGATAATCCACAGCGCTTCCCATGGCTCAAACGGCGAACTAGAGCCAATGGGAGCCGCGAGAGTCTGTGGCTGCGGCTCCGGTAAGTAAACACACTGAAGCGTCTCATTAACAGGTTTTTCAAAGTGATTCCCAAAACCACTTTGAGAAACACAGATCTAAATGGTCATATTTTAATTGGATAATATCGTGTTTAAAAACACATTAAACCACTAAGGCTACGTCTAGACTGCAAGCCTCTTTTGAAAGAGGCTTTTTCAAAAGATGAGGCTTTTTTGAAAGTATCTTTCGAAAAAGAGTGTCTAGACTGCAACCAGTACTTTTGAAAAAGCAAGCTGCTTTTCCGAAAGAGAGCACCCAGGCAGTCTGGATGCTTTCTTTCGAAAAAGCACAGTTTGCATTACATAGCGCCTTTTTTCGAAAGAGCACTTTCGAAAAAAGGTGTTATTCCTCGTGAAATGAGAAGTACCAACGTCGAAAGAAAAGTCGCGTTCTTTCGGTTTAATTTCGAAAGAACGCAGCTGTAGTCTAGACGCAGGTGAAGTTTTTTCGAAAAAAGGCTACTTTTTTCGAAAAAACCCTGCAGTCTAGACACAGCCTTAGAGAAATACTGAGACATCATGATAATACATTGGCTATGCTTCCTTGTAGTACAAATGGCATTTAAAACTATGATAAAAACAGCAACCTAATTGGAAGAGAAGAGGTGGGATGTAAAAAGAAAGTATCTTTTTTTACAGAATCTAAGCAAAAAAACTATAAGGTTCATTTTGGCTATGGTTTTGTTGTTGGTAAGTAGGTCAGATTCTGTGGTTATGGAAATGTTATAAATACCTAGATAGAAAATATAAATCAGGAGACTCTTGGATTGTTAATATTAGGTCAGATATGGCTAGTTCTGCACAGATGAGCAGTGGTATAGAGAGAGAGAAAGGTACCTAGGCCCCTGAGAGCCATGGACAGTCAGGGAGCTCTAGAGATTGAGTGTTTGGGGTCTGTTTGTGGCTCACAGTAGCCTGTGGGGAAAGCACTTCCTCTCTCCAATAGAATGGTTTTGGGGAAGCCTCCACAAGAGTTTTAGTTGTGGATATAATGAAATTTTCCTTCTCTGTGGGATTTTCCTTTTTGGATAAGGCAAGCGTATCCTGTACCAGTGATGGGTAATCTGTGGCTTATGAATTGTATTCTGCTCATCAAGGTAATCTGCTGGTGGGCCATGATAGTTTGTTTACATTAAGCATTCTCTGACGCAGCCTCCTTCTAATCCAAGTGGTTGCAGTTTGCTGTTCCCTGCCAAATGAGAGCTGTGGGAAGTACCAGGCCACAGGGAGGTGGGCTTCAGGTTGCCCAGCTCTGCCCTATATAAAAAATCAGTGATTTGGCTCCCTATGTTGCTGGGATAAAATGTTCCTGGGATAAAATGTATTCTACTTACACTTGACTTTTGCATATTTGGAGAATTGACTAATGTCACAACTTATGTAATGGCTGGAAAGCCTGATGTGCTTAAGGCTTTCTCATTTCAAAGTCTGTTTATACACTAATTAAATGGAAAGGTATTTTCAGGGAATTGATTTTTTTTTATATTCAACAACCAAGAAAGGAGAGTAGCAAAATACACACCCTGGACGTCAGAAACGCAGATTTTGACTCTCTAAGGGTATGTCTACACTACCCCGCTAGTTCGAACTAGCGGGGAAATGTAGGCATACCGCACTTGCAAATGAAGCCCGGGTTTTGAATTTCCACGAGGCGTACAGATAGTTTGGAATGGCTTGCTAGTTCGAACTATCTAGCCCGTGCCGCGTGTAGCCGCGCGACACGGGGTTCGAACAAGCCGGCATTTAAAAATGGCGCCGGCCGGCTTATGCAAATGAAGCCCGGGAAATTCAAATCCCTGGCTTCATTTGCACGTTCGGTATGCATACATTACCCCGCTAGTTTGAACTAGCGGGGTAGTGTAGACATACCCATAGCTTTTACTCTGACCTCAACTGCTCACATGCTTGGTTTAAGAAGCTTGTAGGCATAGTTTCAGTTTGTGCTAGAATACTTCCTACAACATGAGAACAAAGAAAGTATTTATGGATAAGTCTTGCACAAGAATATTTTACTTCTTATCATGGCTATAAACCTAAATGTAAAGGGAGAAGTCATGTTGTTCAGAAGACGAGTGACAGGATCATGTTCAGACCTAAAAGGTACAGGTCAGGATTCCAAGTGAGATGCTGTGGCTAAAAGAACTAATGCGGTCCTTGGATTCATCAATGAGGAGTTAAAAATAGGGAGGTTATATTACCTCATATATTTGTCATTGGAGTGACTGCTACTAGAATGTTGTCTTGTTCTGCTGTCTATAGTTCATGAAGGAAGTTGATAAATTGCTGATGGTTTAGAGAACCAAAGTGAGAATTCTTCAATGTATTAGACAAAGGTATAACAAGATTCAAGATGGCTAGAAGCTAAAACCAGAAAACTTCAGACTGGAAATAAGGAACACATTTTTAGCAGTGAGGGTAATTAACCGTAGGCACAACTTCAAAGGTTATGGTGAATTTTCCATTTCTGGAAAAATGAAGACTGGATATTTTTCCAAAAGAGAAATTAAAGTTCAAATTGGAATTAGTCCAGATAAGTCCTATGGCCTGTGTTACTCAGGAGGACAGACTAGATCATCATAAAAGGGACTGTCTTGGAATCTATGGTTCACTGAAAAAAAAAAGTTTGTGTATATTGCAGTCACTAACAGTACAAAACATGGCCATTTGACCTTTTTGTCAGCCCTCAAGGTCTTTACCAATATGTAACTGGTGACCATAGCCACCTGTATATGTTCCTGGATAACATTCTAATCAAAGCCATGAACAAAGAAGCAGATCACAATGCTACAGGTTGTACCGTGGAGTTGCTTCAGGCATATGTTCTTGTGATAAACAGCAAGAAGAGCCCTCTGGACCTTTCCACAAACAGAGCTCACCTGATAGTGGATAGACACATGAGGAGAGATGTGAGAACATTTTTAGAACCCAAAATCCATGCTCACAAAAAACCAAAGATGGTCCATAATCTAGGCCTTCTTACCTAAAGTATTGGAATGACTGCACATGTTAAACTCCACATCAGATATCTCAGAAGTTTGCTGATGAAAGTGCGGAACTCCTTACTTGAACACATGCAAGATCAGGTGCTAGTTCCAATCCAGGTATTGGAATTCCTTAGATGGGCAGCCCCAGGGACATTCTCATCGGTCTTCCTATCTGCTATCCAGACCCTCAGTATACATGATGGATGCCATCCTATAGGCTAGAGAGTGTGGGCTACAGAACATTGTTGGAACATGCAACTCAATAGAGTGCAATGAGATCATCGCTGTTTGGAAGTCACAATGAAGTTGGCACTCTGAAAATGCCAGAACCAACTTGGACATGAGCATATCCTGGTCCAGTCAGACAACACTACCATGGCAGCATACAGCTACAATTAAAGGGGAACAGAAATCTTGATCCTACATTCCAAACAATGA